GCAGGAGAAGCTGGGACAGGCACAGTTGCCCTCTATGTACTCACCCTCCACAAGGCAGGGAAGCCTGGTGAAGCCAGCAGCCCCAGGAGGGTCCTGGTGGTGCCAAGCCTGGGTGAACTGCACAGACAAACTCATTCCATGGCTGCACTTGTGCTGGGGGAACCGTTGGCGCTTGGGGCTGGAGCTGTTCTGTGAATTTGGTCCCAGAAAGATGAGCAGAGTGGTGCTTCAGAGTTGACAGCCTGGATCCAAGTCCTGGATCCCCCTTAGCTCCTGTGGTCCATGGAGAGAATTTGTGCCGCAGCACATGGGAGCCGCAGGCCCCCTTTAGGCCAGTCATGTGATGGTGGTGATCAGATGAGGTGATGCGCAGGAAAATGCCACGTTCGTGGCCAGCATGGGCTTGTGCTTGCTGCTTCTGTCACCAGAAACCACAAAATGGAGATGCATCTTATAAAAGCACAATCTTGCTTCTGGAGGGACTCTTGTCATGCCACTGGACTGCTGGGCTCCAGGGGCATGTTGGGAAGTATGAAGCCCTTCATTTTGCAGCTGACGTGTGCCAGCTGCAAGGCATCTATCCATTTAGGGGAGAAACAACCAGAAGGGGTGCCCATGAGGGCCTTCGTCCCTCCCTGCCTGACCTGGGAGGCAGGGTCCTCACCAGCGAGAGGGTCCTCCATACCACCAGCTGAACAGTAGTTTTACTCCACCAGTAACAACCGTTGTGACAGTTAGCTCATAGCTGTGTGTCTAGTCGGTTTAACTTCATTTGGGTACACACTATAAACTGCATGTGAAGCAGGGTTCCTAACCATCCAGGGAATTAAGGGCTTTTATCTCCTAAATGTGAGGCATGTATGTATTTGTATCCTTCACGTGCTGGACCTGGGTTTGTCAAGCTTCCATAGACTTCCTGTTAAAAGGAACTGGACTGAGCGTTCAGTTGCTGTTGACTTGAAACTTCGCTGGAAAAGAAGACATACGTGGTTACTGAGAGCCCCATGTGAATGCTAGTCACTTCATAGATGGTCTCTCGTTTTGTCTTTATGGTTACTGTGTAACAAGTGATTAAATACATTGTGCAAGGATTGTTAACCAACTAGTGGCAGAAACAGGATTTGAACCCAGGCTTATCAGATTCTGTGTTCTTTCAGGTTAGACCAGCTTCATTTGCCACAGTATCTCGGGACAAAGCACATTATTCAGCAGGTTGAGTTCTTACTCTTCTGTGAAGGAAGCCTGGCACTGATAGGTTGATGCCAACAAGTTGTTCAGAGCTCAGGCACTTCCGAGCTCCCTGGAGTGTGGATCCAACCAGCACGTGAGGTACCAAACTGCAGGGATGGAGGACAAGAAGAGGGGTATGACTTTTGTCAGGAATGTTCTCCCGTACCGCTCAGACACTATTTCTACTTCCCTGAAAGTGGCGGAGTGTGTCACACACCTGCGCAGAGCTGCAGCTGTCTGGGAGGCTGGGCCCTGGGACAGTGTACTGAGCAGCATTGTTACTGTAACCAGCTAACACTCAGGATCTTATTTCTGAGGACCCAGAAGTGTCGGAGGAAGAGTAGCACAGACACAGACATTTTCCTTCCTTTTGGGTCATGAAGCATCTTTTAATCATACTTTGTAGTTCATACATCCAAAGCTCTGATTCAAGATAAAGCCCATTTTAGAGCCAAGAATATAACTGAAGGGATTTTCCAAGATTAATATAAATGTAAGCTTATATTTATAGACATTTGACAGGGTTGGTTGTTTTGGGTACATTTAGCTTTCCAGGATCTAAATCTGCTGTCAGTTCTTTTTTATTTTTCTTCCTCCTGACTTGGTGTTAAACTCCTGGGCTCAAAGATCCTCCTCCCTCAGCCTCTGAAGTAGCTAGGACTATAGCTGCATCAATTCTTATAAAAACTACCCAGAAGGACCTCTCTGCTAATTTTTTCATGCCTGCCTTGACACAATCACACAGGTCCCTTCATAGCATGTCCAACATCGGTTATCAATTCCCTAGCTTTCATGGGGTTACCACTGGTTCAGCCAGAGTGAGGAGATGAGAGACCCTAAAAGAAGGGAAGGCACATTGCTTTGATGACAGCGTTAGCGATAAGATGGGAAGAGGAAACCTAGCAGACTCAGATTCACAGGGGCTGAGGGCCCAGCAGTCCATCTTGTGATAGGAACTCACCTTGTCTGCTTGGTTCTTGGGAGGAGGGGCTGGACCAGCTATCACCAGCTTCTGAGCTACATGGCCACTGCTCGATGGCAGATCCCTCCACTGTGTTTCCCTCTCCTGCTCCCTGCAGTTGTGGCCTCTGCTGAGAAACTGTCCGTGATGCTAAGCCTGCATCTTTCTGTAGCATGCTGTTTAAAGTTTTACCTTCTGCCAGAAGAGCTGGTAGACAGAGCAGTATGGAAGGAAGAAAACCTTTACAGTTTTTATGCTGCAGCCTACACGCAAGTTACTTTGGGTGTGTGTGCTGTACTGAAGTTTGAACCCAGGGCTCTTACACTGAACTGCTTTCCCAATTCCTTTTTTACTTTTGATTTTGAGATAGGGTCTCACAAAGTTTCTGAAATGCCCGGCCTGGGCTGAAACTTCAAACCTTCCTGCCTCAGCCTCCCAGGGTGAAGGGATTACAGGCATACCACTGCACCTGGCTTTATTGTTTCCGTAATACAAAAATAACTTCCTCTCTTAAAAAAATGTATTTCACAAAAAGCATACAAAAAATTTAAGGGTTTGAAGTCCTTCTCTTCATCTGGAGGTTCATGAATAGATTCATCATAATTGGAAGGGAAACACACCTTAACCCGCAGATTCATACTGCCGTCTATGAGAAGGGACATCGCAATTGTGAGATGCTTAAGGCTGAGAACAATTGGTCTGTTCCCCTCTGTGCTGTAGACTCCGCCACGAGGAGAAGAGGAGGGACACCCTGTGGATGTTCCTGGGGAGCTGGGGGTGGGAAGCTGCTCTGGGCACCTAGCCCCGCCCTCTCCGCCGTGGCACGGTCCCCTCTAGACCTGTACCGCTGGTTGTGACTGCCCCATCTCTCCCCAGGTGGCCCAGTTCATGACACCAATGGAGGTGCCTCCAGCATTTCTGTCAGCATTTTCCCCGGTCCTCACCCTTCCCCAGCAGTGAGAGGAGAGCTGTTAAGGAGCAAGCATGTCTCGCTCACACAGTTGGGTCTTTGTCCCCACTCCTGAAGTTCTGAGCACTTCAGCCCTCCGCGTGTTTGGCCCTTCTCACCACAGGTGGTGTGGCTTGTCTTCTCCCAAGACTTGCTTTCATCGAGGGCCAGTGTGTGATGCTAAGGGAAAATCCTTAGATGACAGTTCAGAGTCTGAGAGGACAAAAAGCTGCTGAAGGGAGAGTATCTGTCCCTCTCCATCATACTTGAAACAAAGTATAGTCTCAAAAAGATTGTGCAATGGGAATGTTGCGGTGTTCGTGCTGAGAAATCTTCACGTAAAACCTAGTCTCTGAAAATCAAAGTGACCTTTTCTGAGCAGCCTCAGCTCTGCAGGAGAAGGCAAATATTGCCAGATTGCCTGACATTTCCTTTTTTAAATTTCAGGCATTCCTGATTTCAAATCAGCTATTGATCTGTTGGTTTGCAGCCTCGGTGGAATTAAGCAAAGCCACATTCACTGCTGTTAGAGTCTATCATAAACAGCTGCTATGAACCCCCCTCCTTCTTCTCTCTCCTCCCTTTCTTACTGTACCCGTGCCAGCCTTCCCATCAACCAACAGGCAGAGCAGAGAGGCGGGTTGCAGAAAAGGGCATCTTTCTAAACCTGAAATGAAAATCTTCAAAGCTGAGTTGTGTGCTATTATACAGTGTCCATCTTTAAAGATCATATTTATTTGCCTTTTTCCTGCTCTAAATCCACTTTGGCAAAAGCAGCAAAAGCCTATAGGCTTTATAAAGAGGGAACATTTGCTCTGATTCCATGGCTTATCCACATGTAATGTGGACTGCAGTAGGGAATGGTCTCAGCCTAATTGGAGTCTGAAAGCAGATGTGAAGTGGTGACAGAGAGGTCGCGGGGTGCAAGGTACTGCTCTGGGGTCAGTGTATTCAGCAGATCGTGTGAGTAGGACCATCCTGGCCTCAAGAGCCACAGAAGGCACCTGCTGTGGGGCAGGAGTGCCCACTACCGAGGCCAGCTCTACAGACTGCAAAACTGATTGGGTTGCGGGGGTGCACGATGTCCCTGTTAATCTGCCAAAGAACATTCTGGCCAGCTCAGTTAACCCAAGAGGTGGCTGGGAAGGATGTCTGGGTGGACAGTGAAGTTGTGTCTTCACAGCATCGTGTGTCAGAACTCGGGTTCTGCTCCTCGGAGAGGCTCTGTGAACACACAGGAAGCCTTTGTCCAGCCACTCTGGGCTGTGGGGGTGGGGCAATGAGGAAGAAAGCACCGGCAAGGAGGTAAACAAGCTAAGTCTCAGGCAGACCATCTAGAAACAAAAATAAGGAGCCTCCACTCTATTTCTTAATTCTCAACTTGTCTGTTGTGCCGACAGTGATTTGAAAGACTGAATTGAAAAACAAATCCAGTTGCCCTATCCAGCTTTCATATTTTGCGAAAGTGAAGTTGACTTTGTTCTGCTTTATCCTTGTATCTGAAGTGGATAGGTAGGCCCTCACCAGCTTGTAATGTCATCTTTCATGAGCAACTCAGGAAAAGTCCCTGGTACAAGGAGTTTGCTCTCTAGTCTGATTTGCCCTCCAAAAGTAGGTTCCTCTGCCCCTACAGAGCAGTTTTCCCTGTTGTGTGTGTAGGGTGACCATATAATCCAGCTTGCCTTTGGCACCTGATTTATATCCATTGTCCCCTGAGATGAATGCACTTTCATTCTTAGAACTGTCCCTTATTGGATGATACATTTTTTACGTGGCTGCACTAATTAAAGAGATGGAAGGGGAGGAAATGAGTTTGTGCTGAACTGTCTAACCTCATACACCTTTCTTTTCGTCCGGCAGCTCCATCTGGCAGCCCTGGCATCGCTCAAGGGAGATATAGTGGAGCTTAATAAACGCCTGCAGCAGACAGAGCGTGAACGGGACCTTCTAGAGAAGAAATTGGCCAAGGCCCAGGTAAGGTACCTGGAAAGTTTTGTTTCAACTTTTTGTTTAAAAAGAAAAATATACACACAAATTCCCACAAAACAAATTCTGGCTTAATGAGCAAGTGGTCTTAGTCTTGGAGGGATGATATAACAAGCACCAGACTGGGTATGGTGGTACACACTTATAATCCCAGCGCTAGGGAGGCTGAGGCAGGAGGATTGCTCCTGAGTTCGAAGCTAGCCTGGGATACACAGCCTTAACTACATAGTGAGACCTTGTCTCAAAACAACAAAACACCACAGACAGGGTGACTTCTACAACAACAACAAGCATACATTTCCCAAAGATCTGGAGGCTGGAAGTCAAGGTGCCTGCCAGCTTCGTTCCTGGAGAGGCTATGCTCTCGGTTTACAGACACAAACTCCTTACTAGGTCCTCACATAGGAGAGAGCACAACTGTGCCTCCACAGTTTCCTCTTTTCTTTTAATTTTAAAGTTTTTATTGCGTGTTTGCAGTACATAACAATTACATTCATCATGGGGAGTTGGTGATGTACGTAACATGTCTTAATTCTTTCCTCTCTTCCTTCCCCTCCCCTTTCCTCCTTCTCGCCTCCATCTTTAGGCTCCTTCTCATTTGCAGAATCTCTATCTCCCTATGTCCAATTATTGTCTTTGATCTTGCTCTTTAAAAAGGGAACTAATCCCATGTCTGAGGGCTGCACCTTCATGACCCAGTCACCTCTTAGAAGCCCCACCTCCTGCCCTAATGTCACCACAACAGTAAACCAAAGAATGTGGGGGAGTACATTCATGAAACACATTTACACTCACTGCCTGAGTTAAGAATCAGAACTTGTCTCTCCTCCTAGAGGGCCCTCCTTGTGTCCTAGCCCAAACTCCACATTTCCCTCCCACAGAGGTAACCAATAAGGTTTTCACAGTAATATTTCTTCATCTTTACACATTAGCACTATTGTTTGCATCCCTAGACAGTAGAGCTTAGTCTTGCCTGTTTAAAACTACATGTTTTTAGGCCAGGGATGTAGCTCGGTGGTACAGTGCCTGCCTGGCTAGCGCAAGGTCCTGAGTTAGATTCCCAAATCAAATCCTGGTTTGATTACAAAAAAAAAGACAACTAGATGTTTCCTTTAAATCTTTGTCTACAGGTTTTCCCTCCACTTTATGTTAGCTTTTTAATCTATCTGTTAAGGCTGCTGTCGCTCCGGTATGGTTTTCCCCATTCCAGAGGCTGACTGCACACTTGTGGTGGGGTTCAGCATGTTCTTGTGCATCTCTTGCAAACTGACATTTGAATCCCAAGTCAGATTCTTATCTAATCCTTTTGGCAAACTATAAACAATTATTTTTTTCAACAGCAGGCCTATAGTCTCTGATTGTTTATCTTTCTGTAATGTTAACAGCTGTGAATGCTTATACCTAAATTCATTATTTCATCATGAATTACAAAGTCATCTTTATGGCTTTGTTCTACCATCTTTATGACTTTTGTTTCTTTATGAAAGTTCTACCATTTCTGTTACTAGGAAGAATCTTTTTATGGAGACAGTTTCTATCATCTACTCTTTGTTGAAACAATGGTGTATATAGTTCATTGAGAGAAGACTAGCCTGGACCCTCGAATCTTTCCTTTTACTTAATCTTTTTCTTTTCTTTTTTTTTTTTGTACCAGGAATCAAACTCAGGACCTTGCGCTTGCCAAGCAGGCGCTTATGCGGCTGAGCTATATCCCCGGCCCCCAATCTTTTTCAAAATGCTGAATTGATTCACTATGATCCCATGAAAGTGCCTACTTACTTTTTAATGATATGAATTGATGTATTTTAATGTATTTTGATTTCAAACCATTATAATTGTTTTCCTTACAGAAGCTCAAATTACAATCTTTAATTAGTGAGAGGCTCTTCAAGGTGGCTCCAGAGTCTTATGGCCAGAATTGAGTAGTTATTCCAGGCTCCTATCATATATTTCTTGCCTCAGACCTAGAGTTAACCATTCTCCAAGTAGCCATAGTTTTCCTTGGCAGGAAGTGACATTTTCAAGACCACTGACTGGGTTCTAAAGATACTTATTTCTTCTTGGCAGTTCATTGTATATAGGTCTCTTTTGTAAACAGAGCAAGGAAGTTATTTATTAATGTATACACAAAGGTGTAATAGGCATTATAAAATTTAAGATATATGTTTAAAATACCTTAGGAATTGATACTAATGAATACCTCCAATGCAAATTGAGACTACTGCATATTTTTGCTCAATTTCTATATTGTATTTGTATCTCCTTTCATACTAAAAACTTACTGAGATTACAGGAGATGATAGAATTGAAATATTCTGTAAGCATTCTTTTGTTTTATACTATGTTATATTCAGATAGTCTCAGAACAATAACTGCCATGACAGTATCACCGGTGTAGTTACTGAGAACTTAATTTTGTTATGTTCTCATTCTCCCAACTTTTTGTAATTGAACTATATTGATCCCAGCTGACCATATGAGCGGTGATTCTTATTTAGTGTTCTATAAGTATTGGTAGATTTAATGATCACCAGCGTTCTTATGTCAGTATCTATTTTAGATGCAGTATGTATTTATTTTGCCTGAAGTTTATTTTCTAGATTGTTCCAAGTGCACTTGTGGGAGTAACATCCCCAGCATTCTTGCTTGTTAGTAATAATCTGTTCCTTTTATATTTGAAGAGCACTTTGCTGGATGTGAAGTTCTTGGCTCATGTTTTCCTTCTTGAATTCGTTGTTTTATGGTGTGTTGACGTACTGCTGCTGTCGAAGTCTGATGAGAACTCTTCCACCCTTTCAAGATATGTGCTCACTCTGGATGTTCAGAGGATTCTGTCATTCCTCCTTTCGTCCTCCCCTCCCCTCCCAGCTTCCCCTTTTCCCTACCTCCCTGTTTCCCTTTCTCCCTCTTTCTTCCTTATGCTCATAATTTTACTAGACTGTCTTAATTATTCTAATTATGATAGACCTGATATTTTCAGTTTTGCTGTGTATTCCTTGATTATATGTTAGAGTCATTTTATTTCAGGGAATTTTTTAAAAAATTACATTGCTTAGTATTAATTTTATTCTCTTTGGTTTTCTTTTTCTTAATTTTTATTAGTGTGCTTGGCTTACACAGTGTTGCATTCCTTTTTGAAGTGTTAGTACATGTACATCACACATCTTGATTCTTTTTTTACCCCTTCCCTCTTTCCTTCCCTTCTTCCTCTCTCCATCTTTTGATTCCCTTGCCATTTGCAAAAACTCGATCTCTCTGGACTCCTGTTATTTGTTTGTTAGACCATCTTTGTCTTTAATGTGTCACTATCTCAAATACTTTATATTTCCTCCTTAAAATTTAATGTTTTCTCTGTTCCCCATTTTATTTTTCTCTTGGGGACATTATATGTTGTTTTCTATTCTTCCGTGTCTTCTAGTTTAGTATTCCTTTCTGACATGCCTTTTTATCTTCTGATTCTTTTCTGTGTTCTGTTACCTCACTTGTGAATTTTTCTAATGCTGAGTTTTGTTCAATTGTGCCTCATGTCATTTCCTTAAAGACGTTAAGATAGTAGACTATTTTCGTATTTTAATTTTTATTCTCTTCGAGGTTTTGTGGCATGCTTTCATGGTTTATAAGGATGTTTTTCTGCTTTCTTATTATGGAAGCAGGTTTGACTTCATACTTCCGTTTTTTTATTTTTATGTGAAAAATGGCCATGTTGAGCTTTTGGAGATGGGAATTAAGAAGGTTCTTTTTTGCCAGGTCAGGGAGCTTGCTTAGCCTTATGTTGTTTTCTTGAAGTGAAAAGTATGGCCACCTGCTTTTAGCTGCTTCCAGGCTGTTTCTTCTGCCTGTTGTCGTCCGGACCTTTCTTCTTCTGTTGCTGTTCTTCCCAGCCTGCTCAGTGTCAGCTCTGCTCTCCTCAGTGTCTCCTTGTGGAGGGAGCTCCAGCTCCATTACTGAAAGTTCATGGGGACCCCGGCTTCTTACTGTACGCCCCCTGCAAGCTCTCAGTCTTGCAAGACGTGTGTCACTGCCCCTCGCCCCCACTCCAGCTGCTGTCCTCTAATTGGTCTCTTCACTTTTCTGTGAACATCTCTTGGTTATTTTGGAACTTTCCATTTCTTGGATCCATCAACCTTGTTTCCCTCTGATTCTGCCTGTTCTCCATTTTCTCTGTTCTCTAGAGACACCATACAGACCTCCAGATGGTATTGGTTTATCCTTACCTGCTTATACTTTGTTATTCAAGGGAACACCTTGTCTCCACGCTTTTGTTTTTTCTATGTAGATGTTATGTGAGAAGTGAGAAAACTTAAAATAGGCCACTGCAGCCATCTTCCTAGAATGGACTGCAAAGTTTTCTCATAATCACAGATTGTTTGAGTGAGGTGGGATAGAGGAAGACCCTTTGTACTTAGATGGTCTGCTACTCTGTTAGATGGACGACCCAGGGAGACTGCTTGCTTGCCCAGGTCATATGAACAGCTTAGCAAGGCCACCAGAGCCTTTTCTCCCTGTGAGATGATGTTACACATGCCAAAAATGTTCAGTTTTTACTTAGATGAAATTTTTATTTAAAATATTTTCCTTCTGATTCTAAAAGCAATAAGATAGTGATGACAGACTAAATTTGTAAAACTGTATTATAATATTTGTGTTTTAGTGTCTGATACATTGAAACTTTTCAAATGCTTTTCTTTAATAAGTGTGTTTTAAAGAGAAAATGATTTTTGTTTTTGCTTTTTTCCCCTGTAGTACTGGGTATTGAACCCCCAAGCCTTTGCACTAAGCTGCACCCTTACCCTTCGTTATTTTTTACTTTGAGACAAGTTCTCATTAAGTTGCTAAGTTGCCTGGGCTAGGCTTGAAATTGTGATTGTTGTGCCTCAGACACCTGCAATGCTGGGATTACAGGTGCATGCCCTCACGCCCAGCTAAAGGTGGTTATTTTTGTCCTCCCAAAAGAGTGAAAGGTATCATATTATAGTGATGCATGCATA